CCGTACTCGTAATATAATTGATAAATCCAAAGAGCACGCAAAGATATGCTACCGCAATTTAGTTAATTGTGAGAGACACCGTTAATGTTCTCCTCGAGTCCCGCTTTGTCAACTTTCATTGTTATTTCATTGTTCCGATAACTTTCCAGACAGTTGTTGATATAGATTGATTCCAATGATTTTAAATTCCATCACAATGAGATAAAGAATATATGTGTTACGGGCAATGTGTGGGAGGCGGGCAATGTCCGAGAATGCCCGGGCATTGTCGACAATGCCCAAAATCAGTGGGCATTGTCGACATTGCCCTGTTTTTTTCGGTCAATGTTGAAAATTATTTATAAAATTCTGTTTTCTGGGCAATGTCGACAATGCCCAGTCCATTTTGGGCAATGTTGAAATGCATAAAATTTTTTAATAAAAAATAATTTGTAATATAAGTAAATATTTCATCACTTGTTAAAACTGAATAATTGAATAATATAATCAATTTAACGCTGTTTACTAAATTCTGAAGAATTTTTATTTGTGCAGTCAATTCAATGGATTTATTTGCAATCATTTTGTGTGCCCCAAAAGGAGGACTTTTCGTCATTTTACGATATCAAACATAAGTATAGACTTCATTGAACCAATTAAAGTTATGCGAAAAAAAGGATTCGAGGAGTTACAGATTTTTAAAAAAATACGACACAATTTCCGTGAACGGAAACAAGAAATTAATTAGACCTATTAACAGTGACAGTGAAAATAAATATTTCGGGCATTATTTTCTAATAACATGTTACTTATTTATAATAAACAACATTGCCCAAAAATTAGTGGGCAATGTCGAAAATGCCCGGGCATTGTCAACAATGACCGGGCATTGTCAACCTTTTGTAAACGTTTTTAAAAATAAGTGTGCAATGTCGACAATGCCCACTGATTTTGGGCATTGTCGACAATGCCCGGGCATTCTCGGACATTGCCCGCCTCCCGCACATTGCCCGTAACATATGCATTATTAGAGAACAATTTTTATAAACAAGTTTTTTTATTTAACTTTTATTAATTATTTAATAATTTATTGTTATTAATTAATTAATTTTAGTGCATTGAAAAAATCAATTTAGTAAAATTTGTTGAATTAAAGAAATTGTAAAAAATTTTAACAAAAAAATAAATATGTATGAGACAAAAATTAAATATTATATTATTACTTATGTGATTTTAATTATTATTTAATTAATGAACATTCTATGCTAATTTTTTATCACAGTTTGTCAATTTATTAAAAATGACAAAATTAAAAATAACTGATCCAGTATGACGAATGAGAATCTGATAATCAGATTTTAAAAGTAATGTATAATTTGTATTCAGTGATCTTAAAAATTCACCCCTTTCAATTTTTGTACTATTACAAAATATTAACATTGTAATCCAATGAATTTTAATTTAATGAATTAAATTTTAATTCATTATTATAATTACTAATTCCATTGTTCTGTAATTACATCACATATTACAATAACTTAAACGCAGTTAAGAACTTTCACTTGAACCATTTGATTATAAATACATACAAGATAAAGAAGAAACTTTTTTTATCTATGAAATTTATGTAAATTAATGAGGTGTTGATTTTCACGTAAATTTAAATATAAAATAAATTAAATTAAATCTTTGAAACATATGGCAAATGATTGAAGCATATTTATAATTAAAATTTCTTATTAATTATTATTCGCAGTGGAAACAATAAAGAAAAAAAAATACTACAAATCAATTAAGTAAAGTGAGTGAGGTGTGTGCGTGACATGAGAATGATAAAAGTAATGCTTTATTCGAGTAATTAGGGGGTCACACGATGTTTAAGATAAACTTCTCGTAAACATTGTTTCAAGTCCTTAATTAACACATATGCACGGTTGTAAGTTATCGGATTATCTCGCGAGAGGTGCCCTCGCGTTGAGCATCGCGCACATCCAAAGAGAAAAGTATATAATGACGACATATGCAAAACAGTCGTGAGTACCTTGCAAAATAATTCATTTGCTATACAAGTAATTAGTTCAAGGTTATCAAAGACCGTTGCTTTCATAAAGAAAGACGCACTTTTGTTTAAATTGCTTTATATACAGTAAACCAGGGCTAGTACGAAAATTGCAATTTTTTTTTTGTTCTATGATTAATCGAAATTTAAAATTTTATAGAATAATGTTTTAAAATATTTAGTCGTGTTGTGGACATCTTTTTGAAGAATTTTCTGTAAGATTTATTAGGAAAACAAATTTTTTATCTGAGTTATGTCAATTCAAAGTATCGTAATAACCCCACAGTTTAGGGCTATTATGGTAGAAAATTTGTTTTTGTTCATATAAAAAAAAAAGATTGGTGAAGTTCACATCGATTACCATCAAAAATTTAAAATCCAAGATACTGCATAAACACAACAAAAAATTTTTAAAAAAATTCAAAAATTTTAATTTTCATCAAAAAAAAAACAATTTTAATTGTTTAAATAATTCAAAAAGTTAACTTCGATTTTTTTCAAAAACTTCATGAACATTCTCTACAATGTTTTGAAAAATTTAAGACCTTGAAAAAGATGGTATGTCTTACCTATAGTTTCCGAGAAAAAAATTATTTAGTTTTTGTAGCTGATAAACGGGTGTTAAATTAATAATTAATAATAAAAACTGTTTAAATAATTAATAACATTTGAAGAAATGAAGATAAATTGTCAATTATTTTTTTATTTGGAAGATCATCTAATTTTGCCTCAGAAAAACAGTGTAAATAGCATTTTTAAGAATCCAAATTATTAACAGATGATTATTGAAAATTGTTTTTTCAGCACCCCACGACATAACTCGGTAGTGGTTGCCTACCTATTTGGCATAATATTTTATTATTAATTTTCAATTCTTAGTTATACTTAATATTCTTTTTTTGACGCAAAATTAGATGTTCTTTCAAATAAAAAAAAGAATTGACGATTTATCTTCATTTCTTCAAATGTTATTAATTAGTTAAATAATTTTTATTATTAATTATTAATTTAACACCCGTTTATCAAAAATAGTTCATATAGGGTTCGTTGGATACGGATTTCGATAAGCATTCTAATGGTATTTTTTAAATTACTCTAATTTTATTTGTTAAAAAATATTTCATTTTTTATTAACTTTTGTTAGTTAATTAATTAATATCTCGAAAACAAAAAATAATGCCATCTCAAAAATTTAACCATCGATTTATTATGACTTAAACAATATTCATGATTTTTTTCGCGCTTCTAAATGAGGGAGAAGATGTTTAAAAGTTATAAACAAATTTTATTTTTTAAACAAATTGTTTAAAAATTAATATTTAAAAAAAAAAATAATTTTTTCTAAAAGTTTAAGGTCCTTTGCGTAAAAGACATTCTCAACATTTCTCTCTATTTTTAGTAGGGAAAAAGTTATAAGTAAAGCAAAAAAATATTGCTGTTATTTGTTATTATAAATATCTCAAAAAATATTGAAAATTTCAAATTCAAAATTTGTACACTTATTTAGCACCACTATCACTACAATTTACCGAATTTTGAGAAAAATCCGACACATGACCCTGTATTCTCATATGAAATGCCTCATATAAGTATATAGTTTACAATGACTTCATGCGCTACAAAAACTAAATAATTTTTTTCTCGAAAACTATAAGACATACCATCTTTTTCAAGGTCTTAAATTTTTCAGGATATTGTAGAGAATATTCATGAATTTTTTGAAAAAAAATCGAAGATAAACTTTTCAAATTATTTAAACAATTAAAATTGTTTTTTTAATAAAAATAAAAATTTCTGAATTTTTTTTTCTCAATATTTTTTTCATGAAAGAGCATCTAAATACGAGTATTTTAAAAAAAATTTATCCCGATTGGTTAAAAATTACGGAAGTTATAATAAATCAAAAAAAAAAAATTACAAAAAATTTAAATGTGCAATATTTTGAAAAATATTTTGAATTTTTTAAAAATACTTAAGATTTCTTTTTTTGGCCCTTAAAGGAACCCAAATTATCAATACATATTATAAAAATTTATCAAAATAACCTAAATCGGTGCGATCACTTGACGTGGAGTTGCTCTCTAAGAAAAAATGAATTTTTTTTTTTTAATTGTATTTTGTGCTAGAATTTGCAATAAAGTTATGTGTGTAATAAAAATTTTTTTTTTTTTAGAAAAATGTCAATGTATGGAATTATACTAGGGGTGTTTTTCTAATGGAATTGGGGTTGAACTTCATTTTTTTGTTAAGTTTAATGTTTTTTTTGAAGTTTTATGTAATTTTTTATAGTGTTTATGCAGTATCTTGGTTTTTAAATTTTCGATGATCATAATTGATGCGAACTTCACCGACCTAAATAAAGTCACTGTTAGTGGAACATACAGCATGAATGACCAAAAATGCCCAGCAAAACCAGTTCAACGAATTTTCATGAAATTTAGTATTCATAAGGCTTTTTGGGGTTGCTGATCACGAATAAATCATTAGTTTTGCGAAATTCAAAATGGCGTATCCAAAATGGCGGTCATAATTTTTTCAAATTTATCAGATTTGCCTGAAAACTGTTACTCGGGGGTTTTTGGGGTCACTGATTACGAATCTGTCATTAGTTTTCTGAAATTCAAAATGGCGGATCCAAAATGTCGGACATAATTTCTTTTTAATTTATCAGATTTTACTAAGTTTTGGTACTCAGGGGTTTTTGGAATTGTTTATTGCTAACCTGAATAAAATTTTCATTACATTACATAAAATACAAAATATTCTTAAATATAGGCGCCAATATTCCTAAATTTAGAATTTCGTTTTTCAGTATCATTTTTTTTTTTTTTTTTTTTTTTAATTTGACAAATAGATTCTTTTACTAAAATCAAAACTATATGTCTGAAAAAAATATTTTTAATGAATTAAAGTATATAAAAACACGTGACCACTGATTTCGATCAAAATTACATAAAAAGAAAGCCATATAGTTTCTAATTACCATTTGTTTGAAATGGACTTCTGAATGGATTGAGAGATAAAAATTTCATTATAAAATCATTTAAACAAAAACTAATGTGAATTTCTATTTTAAAATCCTTTAATAGAATTTAACTCTTTTGATTTTGAATTAGTTTTACATATTTTTTTAATTTACAATTTCATCTGCATATAATCAGATTAATATCATATATACCATATATATATACATATATATGGTGTTTAATATCATTATCATCATAATTTTATTTTTCCCATTGTAAATATTTATAGAGTGATAAAATATAGTGTATTTAAAGAGGGGGGGGGGGAAGTGCACGTTTTCGCGATTTATTTTCGTGGCCAATGGAAATGTATATATTGGATTTCAACATTTACCGAACAATAAATAAGAGCGATATCGCATCGTGTCGAGACAGATTTATTGAGTCTTCTTTAGTTTGCTGTGGGTTGCACTGATCATGGGTCGGTACTTGTCGCAGGTTCCGGGCAGTAAGGTGCACCAATTACGTACGCCATGACTATCAGTGAAAACACGATTCCCAATCCAATCAGCATTTGCGTGTTCCTGCGAATATAATAATGCACAGTGCTAAATTATGCGACTGATAAGCGCAGGATGCTTGAGGTTCAAAAGGTCAAAATCGCTCGCTCTCTGATTAACTATTTCATGCTTGAATTATTATTGTGCTCCCATCTATCCCGCGCGCGAATTAAATTTATTTTCTTTATAAGATTTTTTCTTGTAGGAGAAATATAAGGAACAATTTTATTTCTCTTTGAATCTGAATTAAATTTTTTTTTTAATAATAAAAAGGGAGATAAAAAAAAAAGTATTTTTAGGTGAGAAAAAATTAATTAAACTAATTTTCAATTAATTAAATTAATTTTTAAAAAAACATATTATGTTTGATCATTCATTTGATAGTTTTGATTTTGAAATATTTGAGAATTGTTAATTGATTAATAAGTTTTTATTTTATTAAAATACAAATTTTTTGTTTCAACAATTATTTTCGGTTACCATAAGAATTTTTGAAAATTATTTGTCGAATAAAAAAATAATAAATAACGAAAGTAAAAAATAAGTATGCGCAATAATTAATTTACAATATAATTTATTAAAAATTGGATAAGTTAAAAATAGATTTTGTTATTAAATTAAATATTAAATGTAACAAAATTTTTTTGACGCGAGAAAATCGATAAAAATATTTCTTACTTTTTAGATTTTAATAATGTCTTGTATAATCCTTGAAGTAATTTTTGATTGATCCAAAGGCAAAATTTTATAATATAAAGAGCCAAAATGATCAAATAGTACATTATAAGTCTGCTAACTACTTGAGTTTTCTTAGAGTAAGAACCGGCTATTTTGTAAGAAAAAATATATTTGTTAAATTTTTTTTTTAATTGATATTAAATTTTTTTATAAAATATATCGAGATTATAATATAGATAATTAAAAAGTCAAGTTTATTATAATTCATTTTTAGAAATAACGAAAAATAAACAAAGATGTAAATATGTAAAATAACAAAAGTATCTGTATCAAAAGGAAATTCATTACTTGTTGCAATCCAAGACTTCTTTACATCATGAATAACATAATTGGCTTCATAACAGGCTTCTTTGTACCATATGCAAATTAAGTCGTACAATTTTCTACTCATCTCAGGAATACTCATTTCTTCAAAATCTAAATCTAGATTAAAAATTATAATTTATGAAAATGATTTTTCCTAAAAAAAAAAAAAAAAAATTGTAACTGTAATTGAAAAAAAAGTGAACTCCGTTTTTTTCAATTACAATTAAACTTTGTTTTCTTACTACTTACAAATGTCATTTTTCTCAAGTTTCTTATTTATTCTTGGTGATTGTAATTTCCTTGGTTGCAAAAAAATATTTGTACTGAAAAGTACAAAGTTTTTTTTGTTTTACTGTTAATCAATTTGAAATGCTATTACTTGTCAATAAGTTTCGTTTTGTTTACATTAATTAATTTTTTATCTTATTAATTAATATTTAGTCTTATTTTTTTACTATGTAATTATATTATTTTAAAAAAATATTCTTTGATTCTAATAGAAATATTAGGGGAGACTGGGGAAAATCGACCATTGTGGGTAAACCGGACAGGTGTTAGTTTCTCAGAATTGGTCAAACTTTAGAATATGTCAATTATAAATTTGAAAAGACTATATTAAGAATAACTTATTTTTTCAGTTTGACATTTTTTAATTGTGTTTATGCAATTTTATAAACAAAAGTTTGTTTTTTCGTTTCCCCTAGAAATTTTTACGGATCTATTCATAAGCAATTTGTGCGAGGAAATCGTGTAATATTTATTAAAATTGTTTTTTAGGTTTAAAAGGTGTATGCCTCAGTTAAATTTATCGGTATATTATTTAATGATTTTACTAAGCATTTTTTTTATACAGGTCTTAATTGTCGAAATGGGCCTGTGGGGCAAACCGGCCAGTTTATTTTTTTTTTAAATTGATGCAGCAACTAAACAATACATTTTAAGGTACATGTGTCTCTTGGAAAAAGTTGCGCAATTAGATGACCTTTCCAACAAGCTATTATAAAAGGTTTTTCATTAGTTTCTTTAGTTACTAGAGCCTTACAGCTGTTAACATAGCCGGTTTGCCCCAGTCTCCCCTATGCAATAAAATAATTATTTTTTCTTTAAAAAAAATTATTTAAAATGTTTTTTAAAAATCTTATGAATTAATTAGCGTTGTAAATATAAATTCATTTATTAGAAATAAATTTAATAAGAATGTGTCTATTGATTTTTCAGGAAATGCATCAAAACAATTACTCTCTGGGACTTGTGTTTTCATATTGAGGCAGTGTGTTGACATTCGATTGGGGGCTGTGTAAACAAGGTTTCGATTAGCAGAGGTCATAATCGGTATTAGGTACTATTAAAATTCCAAAATAATAGAAAATACATTTTCATCTCAGTTTAAACTTGCGAATCGTTCTGTTAACAAGTATATAAATTTACGTGAAAAACAAATTCTACTCGTGGGCGTTTATATTTTTATGGTATTTTTTAAATTATATTTTTCTCTAATTCTTTTTTTTATGTTTATTTTTATTTTAAAAGTATTCGGATCATCTTAATCCGGGAGTTATCGAATTTTTCTAAAACCGCGTTCGTAGGTATTTAACGTAATTTTATATCATTGTGTTTTCGAAAGTATTCGAAATTCTTAAAACCGCGTGTGAGTGTTTTTTTTCAATTTTGAAAATATAACGTTCGAGTGCCGCTACACATGAGGGAGATTCTCGTTCAGGCAAATGGAGTCTAAGGTAAGATTTTTGTTAAATTAATGCATTATTTGTATTGTTTTTTTGGTCACTAATTTAAGATTTCAAATAGAAAAATTGAGAAAAATTAAATTTTGATACTACTTTAATAAAACAATTACGTTTAAAGAAAGAGAGAGATAATTATAATAATTTAATTATAAATTATTAAATAATGTTAATTAATTATTTATACATAATTCATTTGTTAAAATTATTGCAATTTAATTATTTAATTGTAATATCAAAATTTTTTAATCTCGATTTTTTGATGTATCTTTATACATGTTTTTCGACTTCAGGAATCCAAAAAACACATTTTTCAAAAATGTGCACTTTTTGTATTTGAAAATTTTTTTTAAAATCGTTTTTTGTCCATATTAAAAAAAATGTATTGACATCTATAAATATTTATCTTTATTTTTGTAGTTTGACAAATTTTCTCTGTAAAAAGCGAAAATTTATCAAAAAAATTATTTCACTGAAAAAAATGTTGCCGAGAAATTCAACTACCATTGGGTAGTTGACTAGAAAGTAGTTAAAATAACTACTTTTTTAGTTAATCTAATCATGTTGATGTAGCTAATGTAACTATTTTTAAGAAGTTAATAAGTAATAGTTGATTTTACGTAAATATGTAGTTAAATTACAACTACAGGTCGGTAGTAAAATTAACTCTCTTAAGGTAGTAAAAACAAGTGGAATTGTAGTCAACTCAAAATTTGAAGAGTAGTAAATCCAACTACTATTCACCAGTTATATGAAATGTAGTAAAAGGAATTATTTTCTTTAATTAATATAACTGCTTTTTGAGTAGTCAATTTTTTATTAATTTCTATGATTTTATATAGGCTTCAATAATGTTTTTGTTGTAGAATTAACAAGTCGTCTGTAATTTAAACTACTACTTTAAGTAGTAGATTTTTACTATTTTAATTAATTCGATAAACTTAAAGAAGATTTTTGATGTAGAATTTACAAATCGTTTCCAGTTAAAACTACTACTTTAAGTAGTAATTTTTTACTATTTTAATTAATTCAATAAGCTTGAAAAACGTTTTTGATGTAAAATTTAGAAATCGTTTCCAATTAAAACTACTACTTTCAGTAGTAGCTTTTACTACTTAAAGTGGTTCAATTGAGTTAATACAATCACAAAATGTCACTCTACTAATTACATTTTTAATTGGTTTAACTATTTTTATATAGTTAATAGAACCGTTTAAATTCAGTTGAGGACCTATTGTATTACTCAGAGTAGTTAAAAAGTAGTAAAACCTACTAGTTTTTTTTTCAGTGTTCCTCATCGCAACAATTTTTTTGGGGCTAGAAATAATTTTTATGGCAAATTTTCTCTGTAAAAAAAAGATTTTCGTTTATTAAAATTTATATTTTACGAGAAACAATTTAAACTAAATACATATTATACATTGTAATTTTAATAATATTAATTGATAAATAATATAGACAGCCACAATAAGAAATGAATTTTGAAATTTCCCGCCACTTTCGTCAACCAATAAAATCACTCGCAGTTTAAAGCAAGATTTTTTTTCTGACGGTTGCTCGTGTGGTTGGTTTTCATTTTCCTCTCTTACCAAAAAATTTAAAAAATTTATTAACTTTATTGTTAAAATTAAAACTTACTATAAAGTTACTAAATTTTCACTAGAACAGGGTGCGGTAGTTGATGAGAATTATGATAAATGACGAATTGGGATTTTGGCGAGTGGGAACACTGGAAACCAACCATGTATCATTTCGGTTAGGGTATTACGTTTGCGTCCATCGAACCCGCGTTCCATCCCCGACCCTCTTCAATTTATTTTGAACATTTTACTTTCACAATGCTAGGTTTCTGAAAAATGGTACTGTTAGGTATGAGACTTCAAATTTAAGAAATTGATTTTGTCCATTTTTTCACAATTATTAATTTTTAACTCGAATCTTCCAGGAAAATATTTGAAAGCTTCCCTCGATATTCCGGTGAAAGATTCCCTGGAAGTTCGGTCAAATAGAAATTCTCTCATTTAAAAATTCAGGCAATTAGAATTTCTGTTAAATAAGAAATTGGTTCAATTAAAAATTTTCTTTAATGAAAGTTTTGTTAAATGGAAATTTTGTTAAATATAGAAATTATATTAAATGTAAATTTAGTTATGAAAATATTGTCAAGAGAATATTTGGATTAGTACTAATTTGGATAAATAGGAATTCGTTGTTGCTAATATATTTTTCCAGTTCAATTAATATCATTTTTCCGCAATGAACGCTTATTTTTGTTATGATTCTTTTTTTTTCCCGCGAATATAGAATTTATAAAGTCGCGTCGGCAGATGAAATAGCTGCGAGGAAATGAATGTAGCTAATTTTGAATGTGACTAATTAGAAAAGATAGCACGCTGAAGAAAACTCCATCAAAATTGAAATGAACATGCATCCGTGTACATACCTGTTTGTTTCAATGTCTCGTACTGGAAAAAGATCATCTATTTCCTTAGCTTGAGTTGCACGATGAGTATCTTCCAGAGACATAATCGGCACCTTGGCACGGACCACCGTGGGTGTTAGACAGGAAATGTAGTTTGTTCAAAAGCCTTCTGAAATGGTTTGGTAATTAAAAATGTGCAGATGCCGAGGAATGTATTATATATATATTTATTTATTTAATCATGATGAGTTGTTTTTTAAAAATATAAATATTCAGGAATTGATCCCTGTATTGGAAGTAGACATAGTTTGATTAACCTTGTCGATAGAACGGAAGGGTTAATTGAATGTCATTAACTGGTCTTCAGGGGACCAGAAAACGATTTTGCGCATCACCCTTGGAATCGAAAGCGTCTACCACGCAAACACGCTCGATTTAATTCTCCATTTTACTCTTCTCTCTTTGTTTCAACTATTAACTTGCAAATTTTCCCAACCTTGAACTTTACTTTTCATCACGAGTTACCTGTCAAATTGAATTATGTAATATTCTGAAGTTGTCTATTTTGTAAAAACATTGAAAAAAAAGAAATTATTTTCTTAATCTCACTTTTATTTTGATTATTAAAATTAGTTTTTTTAACATAATAATATTAATTTACAATAATTTTGTTAATATAGTTATCGAGAAAATATTTGTCTTTAAGTAAAAAAATATTTCAGAAATGACAATTTTTTAGAATAAAAAATAAAATTTACACCCATTAGAAAAAAGATTTTGTTGATTTAAAGAAATCTATTTCTTTGATTTGTTTTGTTTCATTCGTAATAAAATTTTCTTTATAATAAATAAAAGCAGGATTTTTAATTAGAAGAAAGTTTCTTTGATTTAAATAAATTTTTTTTGTATCAAAAAAATATGTGCTTTAAAACAAAAGAATTTTTGCATTTATATATAGGGTCAAAGAAATAATTCTTTAATTTAAAAGTAAAAATTTTTTTGGAAACAAAGATATTTTTTTTTGGAACAAATAAATTTTGTATATTAAAGAAATTTTTACTTTAAAACAAATAAAAAAAAGTCAAAGAACATGATTTCTTTAAATCAATAAAAACTTTTTTCTCGATTTACAAAAAAAAAAAATTATTAAAAAGATTATTAAGTAAAAAATTGAGACAAATATTTCTCTCATCTAATAATTTATTTGTTGATTAAGATATTATTTAATTTGAAAAAATATGCTTTAATTTGGAGAAATAATCTTCCAAAATTTGAATTTTTTTTCAAAATTACGTACATATTAGCAGAGAGATATTGCTTAGATGTCGCAGCTAAATTTTTTGTGTTAATTAATATGAGTATTTACTAATATTTAGAGTTTAAAAAATAGTTGTATATAAAAAAATGCGGCTTTTCCATTTAAAAAAAAAATCATTTAATGTTATAACAAATTTGATTCGAAAATAATGAAAGTTAGGAGGATCATGCAATCTATATCCCACGGATTGTAGATTCCCATCATCAGATTTTTTCAAGATCGGACACAGGAAACAGCAGTTAAATAATTGAGCAGTCGAAGATGAGCCGCATGAGTAGTCGGAGATGGACTTTGTGGCGTCTTTTAACATTGTTACAATCAATTGGCTACGAAGAAGAATTTCTTTTTTTTTCAATATCAAATGTGTATCCTTGAAATCATAAAAAAAAACCATAAAAGCAAACAATTGAAAGAAATTATTTATTCGTATAAATATTTTATTTTGATTAAATTATATAATTATATATTCCACTTGTATAAAAACTAGTTAAATTGAGTTTTTTTTTCTTTAAATTAAAAATATTTAAATATTAATTTCCTCGGTGATCGAAGAAAATTTTTTTTGCGTTCTTGTATTTTTTTCTTATACCAATTTGAGATAATTATGAGAAAGCAAAAAAAAAAAAAAATTCATCATGAATGATGGAGATTTTATTCCTGCGTGAATAAGAATTAGATCTATTGATTGACACGGTTCGTGATCAATCAGACAGAGAATTAAGAGGTACGGATTATAAAAAGACGAGAGAGCGAAAGAGAGAGAAACGGAAACCAATCAAAGGAAGCGACAACAAGGAGTAGTCTGCTGCTGGCGTTCGTTGATCCATTCGCGAGACCCTGACCGTCAGGGTCATTGTGGTTCGAGTTTAAGATCTCTCAGTGAGCACGGGTCAATCGCGAAGTGTTGGTGCACCTTTGTTAAATTTCTGATAGAAGTGGAAATATTTTCCGATGTCATCTCACGCTCCGTCACTTCGTGGTCAATCATTTGTAACACTCTACTAAAAGATGCCACAAAGTTCATCTTACTCGTCTATATACTCATGCGATTCTATCATAATCTTTGGGTGCTCAAATTAAATTGCCGACCACTGTTTACTTATTCTAATATTAATACACTGAAAAAAAAATTATTTCATTTAATTAATCAATTACTTGACTATTATCATAATATTTACTTGGACCAAATAATTTTTATTTGAATAAAATAAACTGTATTTGAAACAAATAAAAATATTCGATTTCAAATACCGAAATTATTGATTCAAATACAGTTTATTTAATTCAAATAAAAATTATTTGGTTCAAGTAAATATTTATTTGATAACAGTCAAGTAACTGACTATTTAAATGAAATGTAAATGTTTTCTTCAGAGTGTCAGTACTAGAAAATTTTTTTTTGTCCTACCTGCATGGAAATTATGTCATTTCGGGCACTTAGTGCGGGCGCAAAGTAACACATTCTCGCCTGGGGGTAGAGTAAGCGGGCGGAAAAGTATTTTGCGCCCGCATGTTAATTTCTGTTTTTCTTTCTATAAAAAGTGAAGAAAATAATTCAGAATAATACAATAGATCATTATCTTTTATTTTATCTGTTATTAAAGTGCTATTTTTTTCAGTTATCAATATAAAAATGCGACTATTTATTCTAATAAATTTTCTGCATTTCAAAAAGATTGTCACCCGCGTGTGATGTTTGCCCAAATGAATTGAAATCAAAAATAATATCAAACTTGATTATTTTATCAAGTGACAGTAAAAAAAAAAAATTTATCCACACTCTGAACGTTATAATGTAATATAAATTTCCACAAAACAGACGTGTAATTTGCATAAATAGTAATAAGAAAAAATATTTTCTTATTGTATTTCTCATTGAATCAGAGAAGATTCATTGAAGATTCGAAAAAGGTACATGCGTCAATTTTACTGTAATTCGCGCTCGACTAGTCTCGCTTGTCTGTAATATATATTCGTTTCCGAGACATATTTTATTTTAAACAGATAAAAATTTACACAGTTAAACGTTAAACAATTGCAATAATAATAATAATTATTATTATTGTTAATGATGTTTAGAGGTCGTTGTTGTTATTATGTTGTTGACATAACAACGTTATGTCAACCAATAAATAAACATTTTAACTGTAAAAGGCCTCTAAACATCATTAACAAATTTATAATAACAGTTTGAAAGAAATTTAACTTAAAATAATAATAATTATTATTATTATGAAAAAGAACCATTTTATGGTCATTTAATATTATTAACTCTTTTTTACTTTGATAATATTTCACAAAAACTAATTAATATCCATTTAATATAAATATACTAATAATATCTTTTAATTATGTCATGAGAGTGCGATAATTATGAGCCTGATAATTCAGCAATAGTTCAATGAAAATTAGGTTTGAAAAATTATAATTAGAAATGGACTTTAAAAAAAGAAATGGATAATTCATTCAATCCTTTTTGCGTTTGTATTAGATTGAAGGACTTGGCAGGTCGATCACCTGCAGAGGTACTTTCTTCGGGTTATGCGAACTGCATTCACTCACGGTGAACTCTTCCTTGCAATGCACCAGGGTAGTGACCTAGTAACTTGTGGCAATTACGTTAATATACTGTTTTTGATACGGTGTGTAAACCACTCTTGGTCACAAAGTACTCACGTGGAAAAATTCAACAAATATATATTTACATTAGAAGTTCAATGCATAATTCTAATTATTTCATTATTTTAAATATATAATTTGTTATTGTTATTGAATAAATGAATAAGATAATTTCTAGTTGAATACTCGCAAGTGTACCGTTTTTATCCCACATGGAAAAAAAGGATTTGCTTACAGATGCTAACTGATGTTTGCTGTGGAATCTATCAAAATTTAGTAACCACAAATAAATTTTTTGCTATATGACAACGAAAAAGTTTGCTATGATAAACAATATCAGTCTTAATATTTAAAAATTTACTGTCACAGCAAGCTTCTCTCACCCCATAGTAAATTTGTTCGCTGTCCCTATATTAGCTAACGTAATTTGATGTGGCAGCAAATAATTCGCACAAATTTTTTCGATGTTTGTGGTATTTAAAACAAGTAGAGAAATTATTGGTTCAAATACAGTTTATTGAATTCAAATAATAATTATTTGTTTCAAGTAAATGTTTATTTGATAATAGTCAAGTAACCGATTACTTGAATCAAATAAAACTTTTTCAGGGCAATATTTTCTGTTTTTAAATTAGAATTTATAGGGCAAAAATGTTATTATCTCAGCTACTGAGAATGTAATGAGGACAATTAGTCACAAAAAATGTTTTGGATGTTTCGCGATAAAAATTAATTGAATTAAAAATTGTGCATAGGTATACGCATAGAAAAAGTTTCCTGTGGCAGCGAACTATTTGCTGTCACATCAAATTACGTTAGTTAATATAGGGACACCGAACAAATTTGCTGTGAAGTCAAAAATTTTACTGTAACAGTAAATTTTTAAAAATTAATACTGATATTGCTTTTCACATTATACTTTTTCGTTGTTATAGCAAAAAATTTAGCTGTGGTTACTAATTTAGGATAGATCCGATAGCAAACATTAGTTAGCAACTGTAAGCATTTTCTTTTTTTTTCGTGTATATAAATGTTGAAATGTAAAATAAATAATAAATTAAATTAAAAGTAAATATTACAAGCACTCAATAATAAAAAATCATAAAGTTGGTAAAAAAATGTAGGTATTTACAAAGACAAAAGTTATGAAATAGAAGAAAATCGTCGGCGGAATGTCATTGAATGAAATTTCAATGTTAATATAGTCATTTAAATGAAATGACGATAACGAC